CGTATTACGTGTGCCCCGTAGTATATAGTAGTATATACAGAGAGTGTGGCCGAAGCAGCACATGACGAGAGAGAGAGAGAGAGCTCCGGCACCTCACCTACCTACTATATACCATCTACATTGTAACGCACACACACATATAGACTGAGCCGCGGACAAGAGCCGCGAGCCAGCATGAGTGTCACTCGGTCAAGTTCAAGGCCCTGCCTGCTGCCACTGCAGTATATATGTATGAACCTCGAAGCTCTGGCGCCGACAGCGATCCTCGCGCGCGACGAGCTCCTTTCTTAAGGGCTTAAACGTACTACCACGACGACGACGACGACGACGATCGATTATGTAACGCGACGAGCTTGCAGCTTTAAGGATTGAGAGAGAGCCCAACACCAATGATCGAACGTCGTACAAGTGACGAGACGTCGTCCGGTCAAGTACCGAATGATTAACGATCGCAGCTGCCATTAATACAGCATATACGAATACGGTAGTAAGCTAATATAAGGACGATTGACTCTGAAGTGTGTCATCGTTGATCAATTAATTATATATACGAGAGAGCCGCTCGTACGATCATTAACGCATTATGTACTTTGGCGCCGCTGAGCAGTGCGCACGGCGCTCTTATTAAAAACGAAACAAAAACACACGCGCACACTAAGCAGCGCCGAGCTCGGGTCAACGGGGGGTCTCATTGGATTCTTACGCGACCACATCCGCTTCTGGGTATAACGTACTATATAGCGCGCGTGCCGCAGTACACTGCAACCTCTTACGCACCTACAGTTTTCCTGTGCGCTACTGTTTGCTGATGCTCATCATTCGACGCATAAATAAATGTGTTTGTGTGTGGGTATCATCGCTATAAGGCATATAATCATCCGGTCGCGTGCCGGAGCTCTCAAATCCGTTTAACTCTAATCGCTACTATACTTATACGTCTATCCCGATGCTGCCTCGAGCACATATGTGTGTATTATACCGACGACGACGGCGATTATACAGCATAGCAGTACATTTATTACGTGCAAACTAGCCGATATCGCGCGCCCACGACTCAATGACCTTTTTATTGGCTATACGTAATGCGTGAACTGCTGCTGCTAGTGCCGATCGAACCAAGACGACGCTGTCTCGCAGTTGTACTTGGAGCTGCCTGCGCGACGATCGATTAGCCGCAGGGGGCGCGTAAGCAACCCTATACTCTCGCAGCAGCTACTGCTGTGTGCTACATATATCGAGGGGAGATCCTCGTTCGTGCACGCAGCTATACACGCTACCCGTCGTCGAATGCATCTCATTGAAAAATTTTACTACGCATTGCTTGCGCGCCTTCCGTTATATTTAACTTTGTAAATCCGCACTCGAGCTCTCGAACTGCCAGGCATTTATATGAGAATCGCAGCACGTGATAAATCATACATCTAGTTATATATTGGACGACCGTAAGAGCGAAATTATCGAGATGCTTGCGACACGTGTTCGCGCTCTGTACTGAGAAATCTCGCGCGCAGCTCAATAGTGTATATGGATGGATTTTAATAGGCGTAATTGAGGTGGCAATCCGACCTAATCGTGTCAATTTCTAACACCGAATCTCGAACCCATTGCGGTCACACTTTGATCGAGAGCAGTACATCAGTGCGAGGTATTTAATTATATGAAAGTTATTATTGCGGCAGCAATCAGAGGTGTATATCAAATGTGAAAATAATAATAAAAATAATAACTATAGACTCTGGAGACTGTACAAAATGTATCAGTCCATTATCTTCACGATTTTTATTATGACAAAACGGTACGAAATGAGTGAACACTTTATGAGAACCCAGATTGACTTATACAATTTTTTAACTTTGCCACTTGCAGATTTATAAAATATAGGTACTTGCCATCTAGTGGTAGATGCTTTAACTATTATTGTACTTCAAGTGGATAAAAACTGGTGTGAATTTTTAAAAATCTTTAAATTTTCATTTTTCAGATCATAAAAATGCATACCTGTAACTTAATTGTACCAGGAAAATGGACAAAAAAATCGACGTGTCAATTAATAGTAATGTGCATATACTTCTAGCTTCTAATGTCTTTCAGGGATGAGGATTCCTGCACGAACCATTCAAGTCTGTGTCCGATTACCGCTTTCCACGAGGTAAGCAAGAGAATGAGCGTCTTTTCCATCGACTCAAACTGCGGTGGCTGTGGTACTTAAGATGCCCATAGCCTGCGATTATTTGGGCAAGGGTATAGTGAACTTTCGTCCCCTGTTCTGAGCGATTGCTTCATTATTGCTATAGTTATGTGTCAAACGACTTTCATCGTCTATTCGGGTTTTCGGCAAAAACAAGTTACAAACGTAATATCGAGCTGATTATGAATTTAATAATCCATTGAGATGTCGCGCGGTACAACTGAAGTCGATTCGAATGATTGAAAACCCGTGACATGAGACATTGTAATTTGAATTTTCGACTCGATCCCACTCGGATCCATGAGCCATTACAAGTTGGTATACGTTGCAGCGATTCCGAAGCACAACTTACATTTTCCATATAACGACTCGGGCCTGAGAATTAAATGCCCATACTTCCAAAGTGAAAACGCCTATGATTTTTATTTAGAAAGTTCCAACGAATATAAGGAAAAATCTATAGCCTAAAATTCACAAGCTCGAAATTATGGGCAAGTTTGTTTCTTCGAATAAAAGACATGTGACTATAGGAATGATTTACTTTCTCCAATAGTCGAAGCGCCACGCGCTCTCGGCACTTGGATTATAATTGTTGTGCATTGTCTCACGATTGTCTCCAAACCAAAGGCACTATAATGTTTAATTATCTCCCGATTGTTGTCCCATTAGTTTTTGTTTCTTTACGACCCGAAGTGAATGAATTTGATGAAAAGAAAAATCAATTCGGGTGCGATACGTTGCTAGGCGTACTAGCAGTGCTGAAACATTGAAAAAAGTCGAGAGGCGGCGACCTCATCAGCCTCGAGGTGCAATATATATATGTATCCCCTCGCAACCGGTATGCTCCCCTTTTCGTCTGAGACTGAAAATCTCTTCCGTCGAAATAAAACAGTGTTAGAGTACTTGTACGAGAATGGAGACTGGGATTTGTGCTGGAGTGTCTCTGGGTATCGGGTGAATGACAAAATTTATTTTCTTATTTCGATTTTTTTTCTTAGTAAATTATTTATTTATTAATATGAGATTGCAGTACATGATTTTTAATGGAATCAAAAATTAATATAGTTACAATTGTTCGAGAAAAAAAAAGGATCGCATCTTTTGCGCAAAAATTGTACACAGACTCACACCACGCATGCACACACATGCCTGTGAGCTCGCACTTGGAAAAATCTTTGAGTTATTTTTTATTAATAATTTGGCTTTTCCACAATTTGTCATTTTTTGTGTATATTATATACACGAGATCGTCAATATAAAATCAATTTGTAATATAAAATTAATTATTATGAATTATAGAGTGCAGCCACATCAACAACCATTCAACAGGTACTAGTTGATCTCGGGAGGTTCGTTGCTAGACCATTAGTACTCATATATTAATGGATCAGATAATCAATATGCGTTTTGATTGTTTTTTTGGTCAGTGAAGCCAACGACCTCCACGAAAACCATCTCGTTCGTACGCATTCACGCAATCGTAATACAAATGTACTGTTATATTCGTCTGATTTTTCGTCTTTTTCGACAAACGGTCGATCAATTTTATACGAAACACTTTAGACTACTATTTACTTGTTTTTTCATTAACTTTATCTAATTGAAAAGTTACCTAATTGTAAGCACGAAGTCTCGTTACTCCACTAGCGATGTATTGTGCGAATAACGTAGGCTTACGTTAATTTTTTAATTTTATTTTCATTGTGAACCTTAATTCATTATTTACACAGTTCGGTGATTCGCTTTCAATCAAATTTTTTTTATGTACACTTATATACATATAATGAGATACTTAATTGAGCTAAATTCATCGATTTCGTTTTTGTTTGCAAACGCAAAGATTGTATGAGTATGGCTTGGATCGCCATAATTGTCTTTTTCTCGCGACTGTTTGGTGCGCTTGTCTCCTTATACATTAATTCGAGTTTATCGTCTTTCTAATTTTCTCTTTTGACTCGTGAAGCGAACGATTTTCGCTCCAAATCACTTTTATATTCAATTAATCAGTCATTTCTTATTCTTAAAGAAATTTAAGTACGGTATAGTTAATGCTTTATGTACAATATATACAAAGAAACAAAATATCAGCAAAAGTCGTCCAACGATGAAAGGGCAAAGTGCGATTCAGGTTCATCGTAGTTGCAAACTATCATTTGTACTATCCTTAAATTGAACACGAAATAAAGATGACTTTAATCTGTTGATAGATTCAATGTATTTGTGTTCATTGTACACATTTTTTGCGCGTACAAATGAAAGTGCACGGAGAGATAACTGCTCAATGAAAATCGAGATTTGCACAAGCTAAATTTTAGCTTTTTTCTGACACAATCTAGTATTCCATTCGTATTTTACATCCGCGTTCAATGGACGAGCCTTCGAATAATAGCCACGCCGCCAAATTGCCGCGACTGTACCGGTCCACGAATGACCGAAATCCATATACATTTTTTAACGAATGTATTATATTATTATTTACTGGACACGACGGAAACAATTTATTGTATGCTGGAATTTCGTTCACAACGACCTTTGTCTCATCATGGATAGCATCGAAGCACACAATCGAGTTTATCATGGACATATTTCGGCGTTAAATTTATTCGAATCTCCAGGATTATGATTTGATCCTTTCGTTCTTCTTTCTTTTTTTTCTTTTTTTTTGTAAGGCACAAGTTTGCGTTGGCAATCGACACTGCGCGTTCGTGCGATGAAATGTCCGTGTGAGATATGACTCGATTTATTGTCTCGGAAAAATTGATATAACATTGGAAAAGTTCGGTAATTTTCCTCTTTTTTTTAGAAATCCAACGCGACACAGCAATCCCATTCCAAAGCGGTACCTATAGTTCACGGAAAAAATCGGGACTTGTTTCGCCTTTCGAAAAATCGCCGTTGACCATCGGCTCATATTTTCATTCCCACAAGGGGATGTGGGGGCAAAAGAAATAGCCAAATCTCTTTCACATATGTCACTCACTAACGAGTTGCTCGGAGATTCACCTTAGAATTTACAAGTACAGACTAAGAGTTTATATCACGGCGCGAAAACGGGAAAATTTGGTAAAGCAAAGTTAGGAAGAGTCGGCTCCAAGCTAACTTATTGATGACTGTAATACGACCCACTGACGTATTGACCGGTGTAGTCCGCGTGATTGTTGGCCACGACCGCCGCGTTGCTCGTCGACGGGAACGCGTGATGATTGGCAGCCGCGTAGCTCAGCTGCTGTTGCTGCTGCTGTTGATGTTGCTGCATCTGCTGTTGCTGCTGCTGATGATGTTGTTGCTGCTGCTGCTGGTGGAAGTAATGCTGATTGTAGTAGGCCTGATTCTGCTGATGATGATAGAAGCTGTAGTTGTCGTAGGCGTTGGCGTAGTTCACGTGGGACAGTTGGCCCATCGCGGCGGCGACACCTCCGGCTGGAACCTGGGGCGTCAAGGGCGGCGACGGGGTCACGTTATTGCTCGAGCTCGAGTCCTGATCAGCCGAGTAACTGGTCGTCGTCAATACTGGAATCGCTGGCACCGATGACTGCTGCTGCTGCTGCTGCGAGATACTATTACTCGTGCTGTTTCCAGCTGCGGTCGTCGCTTCGACCGATACTGACAACGTTTGCTGCGATTTGATCGCCGGACTGGTCGAGGTCGAGGCGACGGCCGCCTGGGACACAGCTGTCGCGGCCGCGACGGCGGCGGCCACCGAGACCGCCACACTGTTCTGGCCGTTGCTGGGCGAGCTCTGCCGCGAGGCCAAGCTCTGAGACTCCGTCTTCACGACGACGTTGTTGTTGTTGCTGCTCTTCGGATCGTTGTTGTTGTTATTGTGATGATTGCTGTTGTTATTGTTGTTGCTACTCGTCGTGATGCCGTTGCGAGGCGGAGGCGACGAGGTTGACCTCCTCTGGTTTCTTATGGCGAAGTTTTGGGACATGGAATGGGCATTTTGCGAGGCCGAGGCGGCTGCGGCGGTTTCTTGCGACGCCTGCTGCCGGCACTTGGCGCGTCGATTTTTAAACCATACCTGTGCAACAGAAAACAGAAGGAAAAAAGTTGATTTTGAATCATGCATTTCAGTCTCGATGTCAAAAGTTTCAAATGGTAGCATAATATATTGATATAATATGACAGGAGATGGCATAAAGATGGGGGAGGGCGCGTGAGCTTGGAGTGAAATCAGCCGAGGTGTGCGTCGCATTCATTTAATATACAATATAGGTAAGTACACAACACACACGAGGCCGTTTCGTCCATTGTCGTGGAGCTGCAATCGCGCGTGGCACCGTAGCTTAATGTACTGCGTAAAAGGACGGGACGAGGTTTTTCGGCTGCTTTGTGTATTGCATCGCGCCGAAGAGAGGCGGGAGCGATATGCGGACGGGTAGGTAGGTACTAGGTAGGTATACGTGTTATGTACACCGGAGCGGGCGCGTTGGGCCACCCAAAGGACAAACAGCCGCAACGACGAGCGAGCGATGAAATAAAAAAAAAGAAAAAGATCGAAAAAGGAAGAAGGGCTCCCTCGACGAGCCGCAAGCTCTCTCTGCGGCTGTCTGTCTAGGGTAGGCAGTAGCAGCGGTAGTCGAGCCCCGCTTCGCCTAGACATAATCCCCGCGGACAATGACTCTCGTTTCTCTCTGGCTGGCTGCGCTGGCGGTACATAGTATACGAGGGTGTGCTTTGCGTGCTGCTGCTGCTGCCAAAGCGAGCCCCCGCCGTGACGCTGCTCTGCGTTTTCGTACTACGGCCTAATGTTATTCTTGACGGATGCTGTAGGTCGAGCTGCTCGGTCGCATTAATCGGCGAGTAGTAGCGCGCGTACACCGTACATTACTCTGATTGTTATCGTTTCTCGCTCGTTCTCTTTCTAGCGGCATAGTTTTCTATATACTTTTCGTCTCCATCAAAGTGTGTAAAATCGAAGGTGCGAATTTTATATGGATGGTTGGATAGAGATCGAGAGCTGGTGTGTGCATCGAAGCGACGATCGCTGACTTATCGGAAACCAACCGCGCGACTGATATCTCTCTACGCACAAGAGGAGTATATTTACGAGATCTGGCGCGCGGAGGAGGTTTGCGCCTCCATATCAGATATGTATGTATGTGTAAGTGTGTGTGTACAGTGGAAGGTACGGAGAGAGCAAGAGAGAGAGAGAGAGAGAGAGAGAGAAAGATAGGCGCAGCTGCCGTGCGCGCAAGTTTGCCATAGGTACATTGCGCATCGGACGTTCTCTCTCGTTCGCGGGGGCTATAATCCAGGAACAAATCGACTGCACGTCGACGACCCCGCGCGTACTGGCGCATACATGTATTCGCGTGTGTATATATACGTATATACATACATATAAAGCCAAGGGCTCTGGAAAAGGGGGAGGAGGTTGAAACTAGCTTCGAAACGTTTTATTCAACGTATACATATAATAGCGCGCCGTTCGGCTCCATAACTGCGTCACACACAGACGCTTTCCGCTGCTGCTGCCACTGCTGTGTAAACTGCTGCTCGTATGTATGTATGTATGTATGTATGTACTGTACACCCTTTCATGCATGCACACAAGCGCGCACACACAGGTAGAGCGAGAGAGTTGCGCTCGCTATTCACGTCGGCTTAACTCTCGCGCCCCGACTCAGATTTTCCATAGCTTTTGTCCTATTTTCTACCGACTCTCTCTCTCTCTCTCTCTCTGCGCTTTACCCGGTTCTCTAGCTCTCTTTTGCGTTTACGGTATACATATTTTCTGCCGTGCCCTGTGTGCGCCGTGCACACGCCGTTTTTCCTCTCTCTCTATCTCTCCCTCTGTGTGTTGGGCAAAAGCACCAAGTAGCAGTACACAGCAGTAGCAGCAGCAGCAGATATACCGAGATACAGCGAGATTTTTTTTGAGAAAAACGCGCAGAGCTAGCACCGGAAAACGACATCGTCGAGCTTGGTTGTGCGAAGCTAGCTGGCTGCCACCGATACAGCCACCGCGTATATAACATAGAGACCTGCCAATTTGCCATTGTTGAGACGCACGCGCGTTTTCTCGTGTATTATAGTGCGCGCGGCCAACTATATCTTGCGGAAAAAGAGACAGATCTCAACGAGCTCCTTTTTCTCTCTCGCTCTCCTTTTTTCTTGCTTCTATTGCTTCGTTTTTTCTTTTACTTCTTGCCTCATGCCATCATCGCGTTGTGTGTACTACTCGTCAAATCTGTCAACGAGCGAATTTCTTAGTGCGAGAATTGGGCATTGATGCCGGCTACTCAGCGGTGCGTCTCTCTCTTTCTCTCTCGTCGACCTTTCAAAAACGCGCATGACGGCGAAAAAAAGGCGTCGCTTTTATTCATAAACGCCTATCCGTGCGCGCGCGCGACTATTCGCAGAATCGCGCCTTTTTACCTTTTTTCCATTTTTTCTTCTTCGATCTTTTTTTTTCTTCCTTTTCTTTTTTTTTAATTTCGTATTCATCGCGCGTCGACGAGCTTTGGATATATTTTATATATACATAAGCGATCGGGACGCGATCGTGCGCGCGAAGTGACGCGATGCTGCTGTTGCTGTTGCTCTTCTTCCCTTCGAACGACGACGACGTTCGCGAGAGCTGAAGAGGTACGACATGAAATTTAAATCGACGAGCTGCAGCACCAGCAAGTGCTCCTTCGATGATGAGGACGACGACGACGACGATTTGCGAGCGCAAGTTTATTTTTTCACGATCGCTAATCGGCTTAGGATTTGCGCGAGAGACAGCGTTGAGCGAGCGAGCGAGAGAAAGATAGAGAGAGAGAGAGACTGAACTTGGATACGAACTGGCCGTAGCGCGCGTGTCATGTTTATTTGGCTTTTAGGACAGCGAAACGATCCCTTTCGGCAGCTTTCTTTTCTAGAACAGGGTATATGTACGCACAGCTAAAAAACTCTGAACCGAATCAACGCGATGGACAGACTACTCACCGATCTGCGCGACGAGCGACTAATGTGTGCGCGCGCGCACAGCTTGACAAGCTGCTTCCGACGGAAAGATTGTTTTTCGGCCGATCGCTGTAGGTATACGTCTCTAGGCAGTTAATTGTTTTTTTTATCACTCTCTCACTCACTCTCACTCGTTCCGATCTCGCAGATCTGATTATTAAGACGTTTCTCTGAATTTTCGGTCAAAGATTATCATCTCGCTTCAGATCGGTCGTGTCGTGCGATAATCGGAAGGAGCTGCAGCAGCGGGCAGAAAGTGTGAGAGAGAGAGAGAGAGACAAAAAAGTCGAGCTCGCTCGGGGTCTTTTATCAATTAGGATTAAAAAATTTCATTTTGCGCTATAAATCAAAGCTGCTGTAGCCTTGTTGTGCACTGGGTCGTTATACGGGGCAGCCCGACCGTATGTAGTATAGCGTATAGCATAAAAAATTAAGGGTAGGAAAATTGATGACGCGATAATATGATAATAAACATACATGTGGGATACGTATCTATATACACGTGCGTCGTTGGGATCAAAGTGGCTCTGGACCGCGGAAGGCACCTAAGGGGTTGTTCTGGAAGATTAACTCCCCGAACGGCCTTTTAAACTTTTCGGGTGGTACGCTGTGATTTCGCGTCACGCAGTATCATTCGTATAAACGCACATCAAAAGAGCCCCCGAGGCAGCTCGTCACGGGTTTCTTTGAAGTTTTGTCGCGCCACCGCTAGAAAACGCGCCCGATATATACGTAGACGAGCAGCATAGCTACTGCCACCTCGTCGCTCCCTCAATCGAATCATATCGAAAATATCCGCGCGGAAGATTGAAAAATTTCCATTTCGAGACTTTATTCGCGCTCGCGGGTTAACGTTTCAATTTCGGAGCGATTTCGGCAGCGCGCGTGTATGTGTATTATAGCATTGGCAGAGTGGCGAAATAATATCAATCGGAGCTGTTGAAATACCCACTGGCAGGGTTGCGTACAAGAATACGTCAGATTTTGCCGTCGCTTCCATAAATAAATGGCTTATCCGTCGGCCAGCCGTTACAGCACGTATGTGTACGTAGCAGTATAGTAGGCAGCAGCAGCCCTTCGCCCTTTACTTTGCCCCGGCGCATGTACAGCGTGACTTTGCCACCCGCAAAAATTAGCCGCGAACTACTACTATATGTTTATGGATGCCGAGCTATACGCTGGCCGAGCGACTGCTGAAAGCTGTGAGAGCAGCCCCGACGACGCTTATATGCTCGCCCGAGGGTTTCGCCGCGCGGCGTCGAGAGTAAATATTGATAGATATGAGCTATTATCGCGCGGGGTGATGACGCCCGTAATAATGATAGCCTTCCTGCCGAATTGGCTACCGTATTTGTGTGTGTGTGTGTGTGTGTGTGTGTGTGTGTGTGTGTATGTGTGCGTGTGTACGCGTGTGCAGGGCGTTAAAAAGGGCAAACACGACGAGTGTGCGTATCCTGTCTGCGAGTGTACTCGTTCGTTTGTTACAGAATATATATAGCAGGGAATCGTTCCTTTCGATCTCTGATTTTATTTTTCAATTATATCGCCTCGACGTAAAATGCGTTACACATTTTTGTTACGCTTGAGTTTTTTTTTGCCCGAATTCGAAAAGCTTTTTTGGCCCGGGAGGATAAAAAGTAAATACCTCTTTTTTTTTCAACGACGGAAAAAACAAAAAAATCACGGTACAGAGGGAATCGATGCAATTTTACGTGAAAAACTAAAACCGAAAAACTAGAGATAAAAATGAAACGTAGAGAGAGAGAATAAAAGGTACTGTTATTTACCTGTACCCTAGACTCTGGCAGGCCAATCTTGTTCGCCACTTCCTCGCGCATGAAGATGTCCGGATACCTGGTTTTGGCGAAAAGTGTCTCCAAGATGTCGAGCTGGGTTCTCGTGAACGTGGTGCGCTCCCGCCTCTGCTTTCGATTATTCATAGCCGCTGCAACATCATACAGGCGTACTGCGTTTAGAGTCAACAGAGCATTTGTATTTTTCCTGCTCTCTCGATCATTCGATATAAATATATTATGAATAAAATACGTGTATATCGCACCATGGCACATATACAGGGTGAAAAAAGTCAGAGGGGAAATGCAGTGATAGATATATAGGCTTGAGAGAGAGTGCGGAGAAAGAATAAAAGCGACAGTATACGAGCTTGTAGCAGCAGCGGCGGTTGTTTTTGCCTCGCGTCATGTGTGTATCTATATATCTGTGTGCGAAGCTGCGATAGCGTAATTTCGACTGCGGAAACCTCACTCACACGGCGGGCGCAACACACAACCCCTCGTAGGCGCTACGCTGCTGCCTCGCTAGTAGTAGCAGTAGTAGTTTTCAGCCGACGAGAGAAAGCGTAATCCGCTTATGTATATATAGCAGTCAGTCTCTGGCGCGTCCGCGAAAATGGAGAGCCGAGAGAGAAAGAGAGAGAGGAGCAACAGCAGCAGCAGCGGCGGCTAAAATTCTCTCTGCAACATCGGGTGTGTATATACGCGCTGCTGCAACCGACGTATACTCTGTACTGCATTTCCGATCCACGTACGTGTATACTGCAGCTGTCCGTGAAAATGATATAGGTAGAACGAAACAGACAAAAAAGCAGCGGACGAGCGACCGAGAAGAGGTAAAGAGTCGCCCTGACGAGTATCGAATATATTGAATTATAGTCGAGTAGTCGAGTAAGGATGTTTTACGCGTCAAGGGTCAAAGGGCCACTTTGGCCAAAAGAGAGAGAGAGAGATTGAACTTCGTCACGTCAATTAGGCGTGCAATCGATATGTTTTACCGCCTCTCTACTATGCTAGTTGGAAAGATTCAACTGTAACGACGGGGGCGTATGTGTGTATTCATCATTCGATTTATTATCGTCGCGCTCGTCCATGTGCTTTGCGCACTGCAGTCAGGCACACAAGGGTCTTTGTGTCGACTACGGCGACGAGGACGACAACACAAAAGGGGCTGCTAATGGGCCATTTCTTCCTCTATATTATACAACCCCAATATTCATACGAGCCATAATATATTCTATTAGTATAATCATCTTAATTCACGTTGCGACTCGAGCGAGAGGGAAAGAAAGCGATCGGGTATCAGAATTCATGCAAAGTGCAGTGAGAAAGAGAGAGAGAGAGACAAAAAGGAAGGAGTAGATGGAGCGCATTGGCCAAAATTTCGGGGCCTTTCGAGGAGAGGCAAAGAGACACAAGGTGAATTTGGATACGGCCCACTAAGATAATGTAAAATAAGAAAAGGTGTATCCGGCTGTGCTGCGTTTGGCGCGGACTTTGGCGGACGATGCGCGTCCATGCGCGTATAAGCGCGCGCGCGCGCGTGAGTGTGTATGTGCGAGCTTGCTTGGCTTAAAAAGCGAATACTTAATCGGATGAGTCTCCGATTTCAGGAGCTGCTGTGGCTCTTTGGCTGCTTGACTGACGCGCGCATAGCAAGCATATACAACAGTCAGGGTGCTGCCCGCGCGTAGTTTATACATCGTCGTGTGCAGAGCAACAGCAGCAGCAGCAGCAGCAGAGAAAGAGCAGATAGAACGTCGCTCGAACTCGGTGTTTGGCCTGCAATTAGCAGTGCACGTGCGTCCCCGCCTCCTATACTCCTATACAAAACTACTGCCGCTTCCATCGCCGCCGTTCGCAGTAGTATGTGTACAGAGCCACTCTCTGTGCACTTGCAAAGTTAAGTGGGTGCTAAAACAAACATCGTGCCGGCCAAGATGTCGGCTCACGGCTACACGCGCGCGCACACAAACACGTAGCACCAACGCGCCTTATACTATAGTTCATCCAACAAGTGATGCTAGTGCTGTTACTGCTGCTGCTGCTGCTGCTGCCGAGTGCGTAGCCATGACGACGACGTTGCCAACGAAGTGAGCTTGCGCTGCTGCCGCTGCCGCTGCTGCTGCGTGTATACGGACCGATAAGCAGCTTATCTTTTCGCCCACGTAGAGGATGCGAGCGAGGAGCGGCCTGGCCTGCCAACGCACTCGGCTCTCTTGCTCTCATCTTTGCCCCAAAGGGCACGAAAGAGAGTTGGAATATATAGACAGACGACAACTCGAGGATGAGAGAAAAAAAAGAGAGAGAAGGAAAAAAGATGTATAAAATTGCAAATTGAGTAAAAGTCTCTTACCTTGCGGATAGGCTGAGGGTACCAAGTTTCTTGACTCCAGGCCGATATTGGCCCCGGAGCTGGTGGCGTAGGGGTGGTAGGCCGCGTGGTTGATTATGCCGTGGCTCGGCATGTAGGCCGAGTGGGCCGCCGACACGGCTCCGGCCGCGTAGGCCCCGTTGCTGAGCGCCCCGTGGCCCGTCAACTGATGATGATGGTGATGGTGGTGGGCCGCTGCGTGCGCGTGCGGATGATGCTGCACCGGGTACTGGGCGGCCGCTGCCGCACCCACGAGGCCTCCACCGTACTGGTCCGACATTTGGCCGCTGCTCGTTACCGCGTGATGAGGATGATGATGATGGTGGATTCCCGACGGATGATGAGCCGCTGCCGAATCGCTAGCTGCTGCTGCCTGGAGACATGCGGTCATGTAAGCAATGTAAGACAATTCGGAGCCGCCTGCCGCCGCAGCTGCTGCTGCTGCCGCTGTCGCCGAGGATGAGGAGGACGAGGCGGTGGTGCTGGCGGTCGCTGCCGAATGAGAGGCTACCCCGGCCGCTGCGGCTGCTGGGCTGCTGCTCGTCGCCGTGGTTGACGAGGCCATCGCCTAGGCCCCCAGCAGACACCAGACGAGCCGAGCTGCGCGTCTAATCGGCGCGCACCCCCCTCGACGTGCCTCCGCGCACAATTTTTTTGCTTTTATCTATATCAACAGACAGGTGACGAGCAACGACATTACGCAATTGAGATTAAACGCTATTATAATAAAATTGAAAAATTGGCACGAGTTGAACGACTTCGCGAGCCAGTTTATGTTTTATAAGCCGTCGGAACGTCGGAACGATCTCGCAAAGTATCCGACGGTAAGTACGAAGAGGCTTCGTCGACTTTATCGCCAGCAATAAAGTATAAAACGATTCCTTAAAATGTGCAATTAAATTTCAAATATAATACGAGCGCGGAACTATACGGGCGCGAATCGTGTGCCATTCAACTACTGCACGTGTGCGCCACAACAACAGCAGCAGCAGCAGAAGCAGCAGTGACTGACTGCGCCAACGAGCTTCCGTCAATCGGATTTAGCGCGGATTGTGTCGGATGTATTATACTACCGACACATGTAAATCTTCTTACAATGTAGATTATAAGTATATATGCTCTCCGACCTATTTATAAATGTATCTTTAATGCGCCTTTTGCGTCTCTCTCTCTCTCTCTCTCTTTTCCACGTTGTGTAAATAAACATTAAATGCCTCCTCGCGTGCAGACGACGAAAAGTCGACGAACCCAATTATCGCGCCCAACACTGTGAGGTGCAAGCGTGTGAGCTTCTGTATGCGACGCCTGCAGCGTTATTATTATACCACCGCTGCTGCTGCAAGTACGCCCGTAAGCGAGAAAAATTACAGAAATTGAAAGTAGACGGTTCACGCGTCGAATAAATGATTTTACAATGTATAATACAAAGGGGGCGAAAAAAAACAATAGAAAGAAAAAAAAGCATCCCACAGCTGTTGAGTAGAATAACATTTTCAACGCGATCAACCGCGGAGAGAAAGAGATGCTTGTACACGGCACACGAGGTACCCCAACGAACCTACCGAACGAACGACGTCCTCGGCGTGAATTTATGTATATCGTTTATTTATTCGCGCATACTGTATACCGTATACACCATCATATGTATACCATTAACCGCTCGTTGTATTGGTATGTGATCGTACAAATCCATCTTGCCTGGGCCGAGAGTGGCCCGCGACGTTTCTCGGAATATCACATCGTGACAGCTCGTCTGATACGCGAGGACGACCTTTCAGCTCTCTCGCTCGCTCTCCCCCTTCCGCTGGATACGTGCGTCCGAGCGTCGATTTGCGCAAATTTGTACAGCGCGAACTACTGCGACGATGTCGAATAATTGCTACCGATGCTGCTAATTTTAAATGTACACACACATAATGTACATATGTATGCTACTATCTGCATGAGAATTGATCAGAACTGACCCACATGGTACACACTAAACTCACGTGCGGCACGCGTACACACGACTATGTTATAATAAACAAGCTCATTGTATTCACGCACGCTCGCTTACGCGCCCCAGCCGCCAAGCGCAACTCTGATTTTACATATTCTAAATATGTATGTATCCGAAAAAATTCAAGATAACTCCAAATTTCTAATGTCACCAACTCGATGAAATGAAAAAAGAGTCGCATTCTCTATAAAAGAAAGAGAAAAAAACCTCATATGTGCCACATATAGTGATTTGTATACACACACACGACGCGTGCTTTCGCAAGTGAGGACGAACATTACAATGAAAAATATGTTATAAGTAAAATTATGCTCACCGCGCGCGAGCGAGGATTCGGTGTAGCGTAAATGATTGGATGAAATTTATTACGCCGTTCTACGTATCGGTCACGAGTTGCTGCTGCCGCTGCCACTTTTACGGCGTTGCTCACGGAGGACAGCGAAAGAGAGAGGATCCAAAAAAATCAAGCCTGTCCTTCTTTTCTTCTTCTTTTCATTTTATTTTATTTTTATTTATTTTTTTTTTATTTTATCGAGAAGAATATTGATCGAGTATATATGCGCGCATGTATATTAAATGTAGATATATATTGCGAACCGCGCTCCGTTATGACTTAATTTACATTTTTTTTCTTCTCTAAGAAATATGAATTTTATTTACCGCCGTTTTTCAGTAGAGTTGCGACGATTTATATTATATATTATGTCTTTTCCACATACGAGACGCGGATCGCGTAGTAGTATGCGCGCACGGATACACACTCACACACTGTATCGGGACACTCGCGAACGCGCAGAACGCAAAGTCGATGCTCTGTCGAGTACGACAATTTTCGCACTGGCTTTGGCAAAGATAGATTCGGAGTTGCAGCGGCTCGATCTAGCGAGGATAAATTGCTATAATTGACGCTTGCGCGCGCGCGCCGCGGCCGTTTACGTTTTCTTAAAATCCCCTCTTATCAGCGTCTCGCTTCCGATCTCTACATGAATGAATTGCATGTTTGTAAACAGTCGCGCTGCGCGCAGTCCCGAGAAAAGAGTCCGAATATACATAGATAGATATCGCCCTACAATTAGAACTATGCTACAATAGGTGGAATAGTTTAGATATTTGATCGAATCGACGTGACTCGGTGATCTCGGCTCGTCTTTCTATACTGCCTTATCTTTAGAATTACATAAATTCTGAGGAAAAAGTTACCTATTAACTTTTTATGGGCGGGCAAACTGCAACGTGATCGTCACTAGGGTACTGTAATGTCAGATGTTCAGTACAGCCCGGAGTAGTGCATCGGACATGTATTAGTAGTCCATTCACTAAAGTCACCGGAACGAGCGCACAAACGTCAACAAACAACCCGCACGTGCACAACCACATTAAAACTCACACGAACTTTTCTTCGTAATCGAGCGAAAAAACCGTATAAAATGATGTAAAACTGAAGAAAAATCCATCGACTGAAATGAAGTCTTGGAACACTCGCAGCACCTATACGATGAGATGTATATTATGTCTTGTACACTAGTCGTTTATACTCAGGCTCAGGTGCGTGTGGAGCAGTAGCTCAATGGCTCATTGACTGTATAGAACTGATCGGGCCTAGGCAACGAAACTAGTTTTTATAGAATTGAAAGTAAAAAGAGATAGAAAGAGAGAGAGAGGAGTGCCAACGAGTCTCTTCCCTACCTTTTTTTAGTGAGTCCCACGCCGCACCGACTGTGGTGGCGACCACTGGCGTAATTCGAAGCACATTATATGCCTAACCATACGAATGAATGAAGGAAGAAATTTCTTAAAAGCTTTTCGGTGGGACTGGAGGATGTTCCGGTCGAGCTCGTTAGATCGATAGATCGAGATAACGAGCTACCGTATAAAAGTAGGAGAAGGATGAAATAAAACGGAGCAACGATTGCATGGCATTTCGTGATCCAAAATAATAGTTATTTTTACTTCGTCATGCAGGTGATTTTTTCCATAAATCAATCAATCAAATTTTCTTCGAGAGAAAAATATGAAGAAGTAAAACAAGACGCATAGATCGAATAGATAGCGTCGAGAAGATGCATCTGAACTCACGAGGCGTACATAACGTCGTTCGCCGATCACGATGCGCGCGCATGACTCCGCCCTTCTTATAACACATCCAGCAGAACCAGCCGCAGCAGCAGCATCATCGCATCGTATTCTCGTCGTACGCGTTTTACGCAGCGGCGGCAATTTCGGACCTCTATTCCGTTCTATATATAATATTTGCTCTCCGTAGAGGGAATAAAAAATTAGCGATTATTTTTCAGGGCGACGGCCTTGGCGCAAAATGAAAATCTCCGACTCGTTTCTTTTCTCTCTCTCTCTCCCCTTTTTTTTGTTGTTGTTGTCGTGCAGCTATACGCCGCAGCAGCTCCTGTTGCTGCTGCTGTGCGCGGTAGCCGGGCCGTAGATCATCATTAGCCGCTGTTGCATATACGAGCGCGCGCGCGCGCGTGTGCACGCCTGGCGATACGGCTAATAATATATGTCCGCCTGCACGTATAAACGCACACATTTATACATTCGTTGGTTTCTTCTTCGCGGCCAGCGGCAGCACCAGAGCCATATATATCGAGCTGCATATATACACGTATGCCGTATAGAAGGTGCGAGTTGAGGCGAATATACGGAATCATCGGAGTCACATACACACATTCTCGTTTATGCATCTCGTATACAGCTATATACTCGCGAGAATGCGAGAAGAGAGAGAGAGAGAGAGAAAGAGGAGAGAAAGAAGAAGAAAAAACCATCGAGAGGCCTGGATCAATAACAATAATGGAGGCCGAGAAGCGAAAAAGGACGTTTATACTTATAAATTATCGCCTATCTCAGGTCGTCGGGCGACTGCTCTCCACCGAACGAGAAAGAGAGAAAGGATAAGAATTAAAAGAGCTTCGAAGGAAAGAGAGAGAGAGAGAGAGAGACGCGATATAGCTTTTAAATACAGAAAGACTGCAACACACATTTACCAAGCGCGCGTACCTGGTAGCAACTTCAGACCTTTTTTCTGTTTTTATCCTCTTCTATCTACTCCCTTCATTATTTCATTTACTTTTTATTTTTATTTTGAACCGATCGCGTCATTTTCTAACGTCACATTCGTCGACTGCATCATCATCGTCAGAGCTGCCCAACCAAGCGTGAGGAGTAATGAGCCGATACTTATTATAACTTTCTCTCGCTCTCTTCCTATCACTTCGCGCCGCGCGCGGCGCACTCGCAAATCGCGCGCGTACATACACCGTGCACCGTCGGGAGGCAGAAAAATTTCCGTGTTTCATAAAGAAACAAGCTCGCCGAATACATGCATCGGGTATACGTGCGTACGAGTTTGTACCGTTATA